GTGGAATTAAAATTATTTTATCAAATATATCAATATATATATATATATATATATATATATATTGATCTTGAAGTGATAATTCAGAGATTTCGAATTGTGTTACATATATGATTTATCTCTTTATAATATATTATATAAATTATTCCGGAATAGCTAACATAAATTAGTTACAGGTATAATATGCATATGCACGTAATGTATGTGTGTATGTGTGTTATATTTTTACTTTTAAAATGACTATCATTATTACTAATAGAAACGAAAAAGTACGAAACGATTTAATTTGGAGGTTAAGTGCATAGTGAATATAGTACCATGTTTTTTTTGGCGCGGATTATGAATTTAGTAAAGAAATTTATCAAATGTCGAAATCAAGATAAATAATTTATTTTTTATATTAATTAAATTAAATTTCTGTTAAAAATGATATTGAAAAATGATTAAACTTTTAATTTATTTAATTAAATTTGATCAATTTATTTTTTTATTCATAATGGAACGAAGGAGAGGAATTTTTTTTTAGGTAGAGCGAATAATAAAATGCCATAATTCCATTTGACGGGGCAAATCTATTTCAATGCTCGATGTTATAATAAAAGATACAAAGTTATCTTTTTATATGATCTTCGATTTCACGTTAAAGTATAATTCCCCATCATATTAATGTTTTCCCACGCTCTTCTTCTTTTAATAACGAATTTTGCATTTCGTAACAAGTACATTTGAATCATTCGCGTGTTATAATTATCGAAGATTACAATTTCAAGTATGAATAGTTCGTGTAACAAGTTAATTTTTTTATCTCGATTTTTTTTAACTACAGTCCAATCTTTGCAATTTAAGTGAATTATAATCTTCAAGGTCGCGCACGATCGTTTTAAATCACTCTTTCGTGTTCTTACTTTCGTATATTTCCACTAACCATCTTAGACAACAAGATCAAGATGTTGTTTTAATCGAACAGGTCGAGTGAAAATTCTGATATTGGTCGAGCCAGGTTAAAGGTTCGCCTTAAAGCGATTTATTTATTGTCTACTGTTCATGAAAGAAGTGTGTATGTATATATGCACGTGTATGTGTGTATATTGAATTTACGCCGTCACGTAATCGGCCTAGTTTCAAAATTTTCCGCCATTCATTTTTCCCCTGTCATTGTCACTTCTCTCTGACTCTTTCTCTTCCCTTACATTCTTCCTGTTATTGTTCTAAAGTTTCACATGGCGAACTATCGAATTGCACTTCTTTTACGATCCTTTTTTATTGACTGTTGGTAATTCCGTTATTCGCGATCCGAACGACCGCTTTACCGATTGTTAGAAACAACATAAATAAACCTTTATAAACGCTCAACTCTTTAGAAATATCGTGATAATATACATTTAAGAGAATAATAACAATCCATCTCGTAATTGAAAATAATTTCGTATTATTTCACAATCCCGAGACGATTAAAAAATATCGAAGAAGTATATATAATTCGAATGAAAATTTAATTTCGGTCCCCGATTATAACGACTTCTTTCGAGTTGTAAGATGCAATTTGGATATCGACGGAGCATCGCGAATAAAATTAACAAATTCGCGCAATTATTACGCGTCCCGAGGAAGGAACACATGAGATTTCGCGCAACGATAATAACTCTGTATACATGTATAAGTACGTGTGTGATAAATATCCTATTTTATCAATAATATGTATATAATATATATACATGTCACGGAATGTAAATATTTTTCTTCTTTTTCTTTTTTTTTTTCTTTATATATATATATATATATATATATATATATATAAATATATATATAGTTCGTCAACGATCTACGTGGGAGAAGTGGACAATGAACGTCGATCACTCGAAACAAGCTAATTACATATGCGCGAGCGAACCATTTCCGACAGAATAATTTCTGGCACGAGCTTATCCCTTACGCGCGAACGCACATCGTGCATGCATTCCAATGATTTAGCGCAGTTTCGAACTAAATACCGAAAGAGAAAACTCCATTCGGTCGCGTCATTATTAATCGTA